TCTCGTTCTTGCCCCTCGTTGAGTTAGTTGCGAGGCGAATCCCTGAATCTATTATCCAGTCCTCGGTCCGGATGAGCGGCTGAGAGGGGAATGACCTTTAGAACGCAGGTACGCAATCCATATATACTGGAAAAAAATTCCTAAAAAGTTGATACTAATAGGTGAGATTTATTAATCAGCAAGCTAAATCTAATTTAAGTGGTGGCCAGTTACTGCAAAGTGTTGTAATCAATTGGAAATTAAGGACATATAAATGAACCGCTCAAACGCGCTACTAGATGATTTCAAAAAGTACAAAGGCCATACGTGTTACAGCGTGATTTATCGTATTCGATTATCCAACATTTCTAATGGTAATTAACTGCGCTCATTAAGAGATAACGTACTACTATATTGAAGTTATCTTTATTAGCAGCGATAATCATCGGGAGGGGCAAAAGAATGTACGAACGAATATCCGCGAAGACTAAATTGATTATTATACATTATATAGCGAATATTATACGCATATATTACTACATCTTGATGTCAAGAATACGGAATGTATATTATCGTATGGAATTAAGATTTTAGAACAAGATATTTGTTTAGACTTGCAATTTATCACATTTTACAATTTATTTCAAGCCGATTGCGTATTATCGGAATTACCTTCTACGCTCTCCGACACGCAGCATCCATATTTGTTTCATCTTTCGCACCTATCCGTTCTGGTTGATTGCTCCTTGTAGTTGTTATCTTATTGTTGTTACTACTAATAGGTAGGGTCAAGCATGATAATTGAGACCAAAAGGTTAGGGGAATAATGAAATGATTCTCCAATAATAAAATCTAAATCTGAATTAGTTTTATGCTTTTTTTGTTAAATTTTTCTTTCTAAATAAAACTTTATTGCATCTCCGTGAGATTTCTCTTAAAATTCTGTAATATAAATATAAAATGCAGAATAAAAATTTACAAATAAATATCATTTGATTTGAAAGAAAGAGTTAGAGAGAGAGAGAGAGAGAGAAAGAGAGAGAGAAAGAGAGAGAGAGAGACTACGAATGTGCTTGCTCGTTATATCTTTCTTCTTGTCTCTTGCACTCTGTTGCGTCTCGTCCCTTATTTATCGGAAGACACGTCGCCGACAGCCGAAAGTCTCCGATTGCCAATCCCGACCGGGAGAGAGAAACGATCCTGCTGTTCCTGTTTCTGCGGTTCGCGCCGCGCCGCGCGCGCACCCGTGACTGGGTGTGTGCGCTCGGAATGCGCTGAAACATTGCGGCCACGAGAGCGGCCGGGATTAAATCTTGATGCATTGCCGTTATCCACGCGTGAATTTTTGCGCGCGGGCATTAGAGCTCGCACGGCGGAAAAAGTTATCAATTTATTGCACGCGCGGCGTCGATACGCGATAGCGCTCGCGCGCAACACCCTCCCGGGCGAATTATTAATTGCCGGCCCGATCGCAATTGTTGTTCCCAAACGAGTTCCCGCGTCCTCCGCGCCGGTTGTTTGCGTTGTATAACCGCGCTTATCGCGATCGGCCGCCACGGTGTCGTTAGGTGCATCTTAAAAGCGTTGTTGCCCTCGCTCGCGCGACGCCTGCAATAATTCATTAATAAAATCTACATTTTTATATAGGCTCTTTTTTTCCTCTCTGTCTCTCTCTTTCTGTCCCTTCCCTTCTCTCCCTCCCTCTTTCTCTCTCGCTCCCGAGTCTCCCCTCGTTTCGCGTCGAATCTGATATTTCTCTCTGCCGTGCAATTATTATTGGATCCGAGACATCCCTCTGCGACTTTAACGGAATGACGAATTCTAACGGGAGAGAGATTGGGAGCCACTGACACTCGCATTCCTCGCGATATTTTCACATGCCGTCGATTTTTGCCGGACCAGTTTCGTGCGGAATCCGTGCGCGCGCGTTTTTATCCGACTCTCTGACTCGCTGCGGTAAGCGACTAATGGTATCTCCTATTGTACGCGCATTGCGATTACGTGATGTCATTCTCGCGCGTTATTTCAAGCTTATCCATTCATGCCTCGCATTTTTATGAAAGAACCTTGCTGGCGTGGCTTGAGCGACGGAGCCGCGTGTCCGCGCGGCTAAGCTGTTTAGCCGCTGGACAATAATTGGCGCACGCATGATATTTATAATATAGAATACCTCCAGATGGGGAGGATAAGAGTCTAGTTTAACAGGCGGAACTGATGTTTCCGACCGCGGCGCGCCGTTGCATCGGCTATAACTTTACGTAACCGTGCATAATGCACATTGTTGCATTAAATTATTTATTCGCCATCGAGCGAATGTTTATCGTGCATGATATGGATACTGCAGGAAGTTCGAGCGTGCATTCCTACATTTTACCGGCTAAATGTCGTACAATAGCAAGTCGCGAACTACGCGAATATATACATTGTACGTTTTAGCCATTGCCATGTTTCAAGCTACCGTCGCTTTTCAAGCGGTTTAGCATATTGATATTAATGTGAATATCAAATTTGGATTCTATTTCTATAAGCTACTTCATTCTGCGACATTGCTCGAGTTGAATAACGATGATGTCTGAAAAATATCCCATACACATGTTTTTGAAAAGATTTGTTTAAAGTATTTTTATTTATAGAAATAGTATATAGTAATATACTATTTCTTTATTCTTATTATTAAATTAAAATTAAAATTATTGTCTTTTAAAATAGAAGTGCATTAATTTAATGAGATTTCTTAAACAAATGTATAATATGTACATTTATATGATTTATATGAATTAGATCTTGCGTTAATAATAATTATTATTATTAACGAATGAAACTTATAAATAACGTGCACCTGCATCTCTCTAAATTTTCTGGAGTGAATCCAAAAGATTGAAACTTGCCACTAAAGTGGCAGTATTTTCACTCTTTTGGAGTGAATCTCCTCAGAAAAGTCACTCAAGAAAATTTAGAGAGATAATATAACAGGAAAGATATAACAGGAAGATGAATACTTTGCGCAATAATCCAATCACTGGTGTATCGGTTGTCCATCCGTTACAATCGTATTTTACATCCGCTCGGGCACCACACGGTATTAATATACGCGCGAGTTGAAAGATACTTCTTTACGTAAAGTGCCACGCACTTCGGGATATCGCATAACAGTCGTACAATTTCCGTTTCAGCCGAACAAGCGTTCGAGCAACAATGAGCGCTATTAAATTATACGCGCATAATGTCATACGTTGCGGGACCGCCACAGGATATGGCTCGCAAGGTCTTGCCCAACGGCGACCACGATTCTCTCTCTCTCTCTCTCTCCCTCTCCTCGTTCGCTATCGTATACCTGTCATCGCACACGTAGACAAAGCATCCGCCACACTAATCGAGGACCGCTAAGCTGCCTTTCTTCCTCGGCGAGCAGTTCGCCCGCGCGAACGAAAGACTAACGACTGTTGCGAGAGCCTCCTTCCTCGAATAACGTCGGAGCATTTAGGACTCGCCGTGTCCTTGCCGAACGCTTACACGCGGATCTTTGTCTTGGCTCTCGGGGCCCCGGGCGATGTTGCTGGAGATGGTAGAATTGCGCCAGTTGTAGCACCCTTAAAGAGATACATTATGTCAATATCAATTTCTACTAAAAGACCACAGCTTTTTGACAATTTCGAGATGCTGACGATTTTTTTTTCAAACATTTTCTATTAATATCTGAATTTTTAACTACAATAAAAGAATATTTAATATTTTCAGTAGCAATACAATTTTATTACACGTGCATTTTTATTCTGGATAATTCAATTTATTATTGAAAACCTTAAATTCAACTTTTAGCATCGAATATACTTCTATAAATAATCGATGCCTTGTTGCAAAAAAAAAACAATCATTACATTTATTTAGTACGACACTCATAATTCTGACACGAGATGTCGCGTGTACGATATATATAATCGACGGCAAACAACTTTTAATTATAAATACAAAAATTGGTCGTGAAATTACTGCAGTGTCGTCACTTTCATTACGCCGTAACTACATTTACTCGGCGATGTATATCAATTCGAGATTAATATCAAGATTGTGTCACGGGTACACGTCTCATCGCGCGTTCCTGACAGTACGAACGCGCGTTATCCGCGCGTACAAAGCGGGTCCAGCCGCATGAAATTGAAAGTTAGCGTGGGCCGATAGCTACCGCCCAGACCGGTCCAAGTTTACTCGTACATTAAGTCGGTGATCCGGCCCGAGGAAATATCATTGGCCTGCGCGCGTTCGCCGAGTGCTCCTTAGCGGGATAGTAACGGGGGTGGAGATCGCCGCGAGTCTCGTGCACAGCTCGATATCAGCCGCGAAAAACAGCCTGGCAAACGGCGTTGCAAAGAATGCAGATACTCGCCTATGGGTATGGTTTCTCGCGACCGATATAGCTATTCGAAGTAAAGGAGAATTTTTGCGGTTTTCGCAGAACAACAAAAAAAAAAAGAACGGCGAGTTAAGAGAAACCTGAGCTAAACGTCTCGTTTGCAAATGCGACGTATTTCGCCACGGCAAAATAAAAATGACAGGCGAATTCCGACCAGGTTTTACGTCCGTAATGGAAAGCGTGTGGCTGGCTCGAAGTTCGTTTGGTACTGAATATTTTTACGCGCAGGTTGACACATTAAGACCCGGTTAGCTGTCAGCCCGAGACCGTCTTTCTCAATCGACATTATAGTTACGGCCCCGTGATCCGGAATGAAACCGGCAATCGCCGCGGAGTTAGTTAGCTCCGACCGCGCGCTGTTGGCGCAGTACTGACCCTGATTTAAATATTTACACGAAGGCGGAGAGCGGCGATGATGCTCCTCGGGCGCGAATCGTTAACGCGGAGTACGCGTCGAGGAAATTCCACGGCCGTGTCCGGAGGAGTGTGCAGCACTTGCTCTAGAATGCGATAATTGGCTCCGCGCCTCGCGCGCGCGTTCGCGGGGGCTCCCGGGAGATCATCACCGCGCGGAGTTCTGATTCGGCCGTTTCTCCATTTCTGATTGCAGGTCGCCGGACAATTATTGGACACGGAGTTTCAGCCGACGGTGACGGCGACGTGCAAGGGCGGCTACATGACGATCCGCGTCAATCTCAATCAGAGTTTCGTAGGCGCGGTCCACGCGCGGGACCATCGGACCCCGCAGTGCATGGTGTCGGGCAACGGCACCACGCACGCCACACTGGGCATCAATCTGTTCGCGTCGCAGGACAGTCCCGAGTACTGCGGAGTCCTCGTGAACAACGTGAGTTCTGTCTATGATTATGGAAATCGCGATACGCCGTGGGCTCCACACGGGATCGTATATATGGAACTAGCGCTGATTACTTCTATATACGATTCGCAGATAGCTAATTCGTTTGACAATTTTATGCAATAGTATGCGCATACGAGCCTTTGAGCATAATTTCGAGAAGTCAAATCATTGCACGAGCAACTGCTCGCTTGCCACTCGTGTAAAAAGAGGAGGCTTATTCCGCCGTCCAAGGTGCAGTTACGCTTTACACGTTTCGCGGAGAAATTAGTACTCGCGTCTGTTTACATGAGAAGTTTCCAGAAAATTAATTGTTTTGAGAAGGCTGCGGGTACACTGATTTACATACCCGGCCACTGAAGACGGCCTCGAGAATAACGTGAGAATCCATCATATATGGAGATTACGATTTGCATTTGAATCCTTCTCTTTCCGCCGAGGTATTTGTTCTGCAAGTGTAACGCTCTCTGCGACCGAAGACGTAAAGCCACTCCACACGTAAAATTTTCACATACACATAGACAATTGGGCTTACAAAACGTTCTCATAAATTCACTAAAAGGTAGAAGTTCAAATAAATATTTTACACGGGAAAAAAATCAATTATTTTATATGTAATAAGCTGCATGCTGAATTATATATTATATTTTATTATTTTTTTATATTTAAATGTATATTACAGCACACGGAAGAACGTTCCATTCCTATCGCTGTTAGGATACATAAAACGCTGGAGTTAGCGGACGACAAGTTTTATGTCATTACGTGCGGAAAGGCGGGTTTCAAAAATGCCAAGTAAGTAGAAGATTAATTATAAAATAATAACGTAATACATGAGATATAAATAATATTTTAAAGCGGTAATTTGTGGTCAAGATTATTAACTTGAGAAATGATCCCAGACAATATTTTTGATTTAAATCTTTCCGATTATTCTTTAAGATTTGTATATTTGTTATTACATGTTTTGCTCGTAGTTTCCATGTAAGTAAACGTCAGTAAATTGTCAGAATGGCGGAACAAACTGCGCTGACGCTGTGGGTTTATCTTATTTATGGACTCTCCGCGGTGCTATCGTAAATAATCAGTATATGTACGCTGGGTTTTTCAAACGTACGAGAAATAGAAATATCTCGCGCCAGTGGCTGCTTGACACGCGTGAACGGCGCTATCTAAACGGGAAATACCATTCGCGAGGCTTTTAATCGGTCATTAAGCGGCTCCGTGTTTTCTAATCGATCGCTGATATTTTCCATTCGGCATCACTCAGCAATATATTTCCGCTTTTGCGGCACAATGATTGTACGTAGAGATACTTTGACTTAGAGTGATCAATTTAAGAGTGTTCGATATCTCGCACGATATCGAATATTAACAAGTACGGCGTGTTTAATACAATTAAATATACTTTCTGAGAAGTATCCTGTATAATATCAATGTAATGAATAAATAACTACGAATAAATAAAGTTAAATTAAATTCGATATTTAGGTGTGAAGATAATACGAAACGTCTGTTTGTCTCAAAATACCAAATTCGGCTGATAAGAATTCAACAGTCATCTATTGTAACTTGTGTACTTTACGCATTAAAATATTGCCGTTTATAGAATTATACGCTGGTCGGAGAAAAGGCTGCTCGGGCGACAATAAAATTTAATTGGGCTCCCGAGAAATTAGATAAGTGGAGCGACGAATCGGTAATTAATATGTCTGCGACGCCGCGATTTACCGCAAGTCCTTCGTTTTCTTTCTTATTCTGCAGCGCGAAAAATGCGGCTGACAATTGGTATGCGTCTGTCGTCAAATGAGATATCCCGCAAATGACAAGTAGCTCCTCTTTGTCGGAGTAACGTTACATACCTTGTTGAATAAATTCCCTTGGTACGAGACACTTTGGAAGTCGATACACATGACCCTGCGCGACTCGTTGATTTTCTTATCGCATGCGTATCGTCAGATGTACACTGGACTTGTTGACTTGTTTTCTTGTACCCTTATATCCATTCGCTTCGATCGCAGTCTCGATTAAGCCTTGCGTCACGTATCCAATAATAAAATGCGTCGCGAGACGCGCGAAAAGAAAGAGAAAAGAAATCCGTGCTCTGTTACGTGCCGCGACGCAACGACGCCGCATTTTATCGATAGGTCCTCTTCAGCTCCTAAGCTGACCCTATGTTTGGGTCCGTAACCTAATATGCCTAACCGTAATAAACATAAGTACCTATACCCTTCGATATCTACTGCTTATTTACTTAATATAAACGCTCCACTCGAGAGACTCTAAGCGAAGATCTCTCTTGAGCGAACTGTTAGTTAGTTCTGTGTCGTCTCTCGTAGAGAATACACCTCGCTTTATAAGTCCAGAATAAAGTTTTTTATAAGTGAACAGTTGTCGATTTACTTTGATACCTTACGTGGCTTCGGCTCGTAACAATTGGTGGCAGCGGTTACTCATAGTGTCCCGAGGACTGGAGGCCTTTATCAACGCTCTGCTCTGCTACACACGTAAAGTCAGAGGCATCTGATAAGGCACGGAGAAAGGACATACAGCAAAGCCTAAGTCGAGTAAACCTCGTGACATTGAGGGAGAAGACGAAAGGCTACGATAATTGTTCCTGCTGGACAAGCGTAAATTGGCATAATAACCATCTGTGAACTGGTCTACCTGCCGATAAAACCTCTTGACAGCTCAATATCTGAGGAAAAAGGCACCAGGAAACCGAGTTATCACAGAAATATAACAGCCAGATCGAGAGAAAAAGCACGAGACACCTGCACGAGTACGAAAATCGGAGTACTCCCTTGAGTCAATCGGAGGGCCGACTTCGTGGACGGCCAACACGTAAAAAGGCTATACTACATTACATCGACGGACAACAGCATCTCGGACTAGTGATAATCATTCACCGGATAAACATGTTTTACATTATTCTACTTCTGTAAGTTTTATGAATTATAGAATAAAAAAGCGCATTATAATACAGATAGTTCCGATAGCGATTCAACGAGTAGTAGCTTCGAATTCGGATATATACTTTTAAGAAAAA